GGGGGGGGGGGAGGGGGAGGGGGAGGGAGTGTGTTATCCTGGCCCAGTCCCTTTCTCCTCCCCAGAGTTAAACGCAGGCTCTGTCAGAGTATTAAGGAGTCCTCTTGGGCCAACAGTGGGTTGTGAGTCCAGAAACCCCAACCAGGACTCGTGGTGTGGGCATCCTGGAGGGTCTGGGAGGAAAAGCTTTGAGATGGGGCAAGGGAAGTCGGACATGGGCAGGTGCTTTTGGGTGACAGCCCCGCAGTCGCTTTATCTGAATTATCTAGGAGGAAATCTTCAGGGTCTGTCATCAGGGTTACGGGTTATTTTGGTCACCAAGTCTAAACCTGGTTCTTTCGAGATAAGGAGTTGAAACAGGACGTGTGACTTTATTTAATAGGGACATTGAAACCAAGGAAATGAGAGGAGGGAGTCCTAAAGACCCTCTCCTGGATCCTGTGTGCTTGTTTACATTTTTATCCAGGATGTGGGGCAGAGGGGGGCCGAGATCAAGAAGTACCTACATTGGTGTCCAAATTTTTGCTGTGTCATTCACAAAAATAGAGTGTCTACACTGGCTGAATGGATTTTACTTCATCTTTTTTCTCACACAATTCATTAGAAGATATTTCTGTGTTACAAATTATCTTACTGCATAATTATAGCTGTCATATCTGCCGTACCCTATTGTCTTCATTTTTGCTTTACCTAGAGGCCATGGTCACTTGGTAAATATGTGTTGTTGTTTTCAGGGGCTGTTTACATTCAAGGATGTGACCATAGAATTCTCTCCAGAGGAGTGGGAATACCTGGACCCTTCTCAGCAAAGATTGTACAGGACCGTGATGTTAGAAAACCACAGAAACCTGGTTTTCCTGGGTGAGGTAGCTCTCAACACACAATTTCTATTTCATACTTAGGATTTTATGTCCTTCCTTTGTAGAAAGTTTTCTGAGAATTTCTTCTTTGTATGAATGAGCTTCAGATTCCTGCTATCAAAGAAAAGTTGATGATATGTTAGCATAGAAAAGCGGAAATTAAAAGATGTTTCATTTTGACCTGAACCATTCTCTATTTTGAATTGATTCATGTCCTTCTATCTATGTAATTGGTAAGTTCAGAAATTTAGTGGCACAGAATATTATTGCCCACATCTCATTCCAATTGCTGCCACAAGTTTTTGACTCACTCGTACTGAACTAAGAACTCACGAATATAAGGCCAGGTATGGGATGACTCAACCTTGTAATGCCAGCACTTTGGGAGGCTGAGGTGAGAGGATTACCTGAGCCCATGGGTTCCAGATTAGCCTGGGTAATGTGGCGAGATCCCATTTCTACAATAAGCCAAAAAACTAGCTAGGCATAGGAGCTCATACCTGTAGTTCTGGCTACTTGAAAGGGTGAGGGGATAGAATCACCTGAGCCCCACAGGTAAATGCTGGGGTGGCCATGACCTTGCCACTGCTCTCCAGCCTGGGTGATGGAGTGAGACTCCAACTCAATATAAAAAGGAACTCACACATTTAAAATTCTATCCAAGTGTTCTAAAGGTTTTATTGAGAAACAGTATTTTGGGGTTAATTTTCTATAGTCTTATATAATGTGTTCTCTACTGATCACAATACTAGATTTGTAAATGAAGAATCCCAGCAAGAGTCATGTTATACTTTTCTAATTAAACAGGCCTTGCTGTCTCTAAGCCAGACCTGATCACATGTCTGGAGCAAAGGAAAGAGCCCTGGGATGTGAAGAGATACAGCACATTAACCAAACCTCCAGGTAGGTGGGAATGAATGAAGCAGATGACACAGGTCGAGGGAGCAGAGCTTGAAATGTGCTTTGGGAAGGTGGTCTGCTCCAATGAAAATGGTTTCTGAGAAGCCTGGTATTCTTTCTCTTGCAGTCACAAAGAGACATCTATTCCTTGTTCTGGAATTCTCCAAAAACTCTGCTTCTTTTTCAGTGATTTCCTTTTAGGGTACAGTGGAAATCAAAGTCCACTTAATGGTGTGATCTGATTACCTTTCTGAAGCTTAAGTTTTGCTTTGACATCATGGTTGGAAATATATGAGAGTAGTGTTTTAGAATTTGATTGAGAAATTTTAAGAACTCTCCAGACAGTTGTCACAGGTTTTCTACTTTATGAATTTCTATTTTAGGGAGATTTCCAATGATTTTATTTAAATTCATACACCATAGTTTTACCAGAAGACAAACTATCTCACTTAATAGAAGAAATCCTGTTATTTCAGTTTAATTATAATTTTTTAGTATGATTTGAGATTGGCGATTTTTCTATATATTCAAACATTTAAGAATACTATGTCTCATATATATATTGAATTGGAATCTCACTCTGTTGTCCAGACTGGAGTGCAGTGGCATGTTCCCAGCTGCCACAACCTTGACCCACTGGGCTCCGATGATCCTTCTGCCTCAGCCTTCCAAGTAACTGGAACTACAGGCACACGCTACCATGCCCGGCTAATTTTTGATTTGTTGTAGAAATGAGGTCTCACCAAGTTGCCCAGGTGGGTCTTGATCCCACGGGCGCAGGCAATCCACTCAGCTCAGCCTCCCAAAGTGCTGGGATTACAAGCTGAGCTACCACGCCCGGCTACATCTGATTTTTTATACATAAAAATGTATAACCAGTCGGGCTCGGTGGCTCAGCCTGT